AGAGAGAGAGAGAGAGACAGAGAGAGAGAGAGAGAGAGAGAGAGAGTTCCAGGCTCCATGATGAACCCTGGGGGAAGGGAGGCAGGGACTGTGAGAGTCCAGAGGAGGATGGAGGGGAAGGGGGAAACTAAAAGACACCCCCAGCTCCAGTATCCGTGGCTCAGGCAGAGATTAACCCCTTAGGGGAGAGAGTGGGGTGTCGCTGTGTTCCTAGTAACTGGAAGCTCTTCTTCCTGGAGCGTCAGCTGGGCATCAGACCTCCAGACCCCCTTCCCTTCTAGCTCCTTCCTAGGACACATGTCTCTGGGTCACCTCCCCAACCTTTACACATCCCCCTGTTGTGATCTGCAGCAGGCCTGGCTGTGTGTGTGTGTGTGTGTGTGTGTGTGTGTGTGTGTGTGTGTTGAGAGAGGACAGACAGGGAGAGTCTGGGGAAAGAGGAGAGGAAGAAGGAATAGTCCTGCCTCCCTTTCCAGTGGGGACAGGAGGGGGCTGTTCCTATATGCGGTGGAGGGAAGACAGATGGTTAGGAGCCTCCTGGAAGATCATCCACCCTCACCCCTTTGCCTCCCAATCCTTCCTCCATATGGCAGCCACATTACCTTCCTGCCCCAAATCTTTCTATAGTTCCTCAAGGCCCTTAGAATAAAGTCCAAACTCTCCAACAAGGCTGACAGGGCCTCTGTTCATCCTCCAGCCTCTCCATTCACACCCCTCCCCCAAAATCCTCCAGGCCTCTTCCTACTGCTGTTCCCTCTGCTGGTCCGTCCAGCCCCACACCCTGTGCTTCGTCCTCATTCTTTAGGTCTCAGAAACTCTGAAGGAAAATTGCTCAGACCACCCCACCAATCTAGAAAAGGTTCCTCCTTTGGGTACCCCAGGGCACCACGGGCCTGCCCCCACCCCACGGCAGCCTGGGCCCCCACCCAGCTCTGATCACTCTGTGTCACAATTGCCGGACCCTTTCCCTCTGGAGCCTGAGAACTGTGAGGACAGGAACTTGCCTTGCTACAATCCTCAATGCCTGGCACCATGCCTAGCATTCACTAGTGGAAGGAACACCCCAGGAATTACCAAAGTGGTATTATCTTTCAGACTAGAAGCTGGTTAGAGAACACCAAGATGAGCCTCCTCTTTTTGAGGTCCAGAGAGTAGAAGGGACTTGTCCAAAGTCACCGAGAGGGAGTGGCTGAGCCAGGGAAAGAACCTAGGTGTCCTAACTCCTCGGGCCTTGCCCTTCCATGGAGGGATCCAAGGAGGAAGTGGAGGCAGCTGGTGGGAAGTGGACAGGGGCACGCAGTGGGAAATGGGGCGGCCCGAGGGTCCTGCAGCAGTCTTCATGGTGTGTGCACAGATGTGTGCTCAGATGTGTGCTGCACTTGACTGGCTGGGAACCCGCTCCTGCTGCCTGCCTCCCAGTGAGGGCGTGAGGGGACCCACTGTCTGGGGAGAAGCCCACCCAGGACTGGGTGATGGGGGTGCTGGGAAGCCAAGTTGGCCAGGTTCTCAGATTAGGGATTTACGTCATCTCAAACCCCTATGGAAGCTGAGAGTATGTACCCAGGGGGCAAGGCAGGCACTGGGGATGCAATCACAGGCTAATAGCCTCCCAGCCTGAGACGCAATTAGGGGCGAACTCCCAGGGGGCCCAGAGGAAGCGGGAAGGGCCGTTAGCTGTTTGGAGTTGGGGGTGGGGGCTCACCTCTGACAGTCCTGGCTCAGGGTCAGAGGGGCCACAATGAGGGCACAAATAGAAGGAAGATAGGGGCATGAGTGGGTAGTGAGGAAGAGCAGGGCTTTGGAGGTGAAGCACAATCTTGGAAGATGAATGGGGAGGGGTATTTTTCCAGAACCCCAGCTATAACAGTGAAAGAGCCAAGCTAAGTTACTTAGATTCCCAGCCTTTCTGAGTGGGTTTCCTTCCTTATAAGATAGAAATAATAATAACAGACAGTATCTCAAAGGGCTGTTGTGAAAGTTAAATGAGAAAAAGCACGCGCAGCACTTAGCTCAGAACATGACCCTTACCAAGGGCTCGGTAAATGCTCATCATGATGACGACGTAGGGAGATGGGATCATAGACTGGCCATACACACAAACTTCGGCATCGTGGAGACCTGGGTTCAAGCCCAGCTCTTCCACTGTGACTTTAGGCAAAGGCTCATCTCTGTAAGCAGAACTGATAGCAGTACTTAACCTTGGCCAGGGGTGAGAGGAAGTGCAATAGGGAACACACACTGCCTGGGACGCAGCTTCTCCCTAAATGGTAGTTCCCCAGGATGAAGCGGGGTCATCCCCTGGGCCTCAGATCACAGCCCCCAAGTCTTCTGCTCCTGAGACCACAAGGCAGTGCTCTGTGACCCCAAGGGCTCCAGCAGGGACCCTACCACCCCAGTCTGTTCAAGACAAAGGTCTGCAGAGCTGGTTTCCTGCTGGAGCCTTGAGAGGGACCAACAGGGACTTGTCACTGTGGTTTGGAGGATGGATTCTGTTTAGAAACTGCCACCAGATACACTGCAGCTGCGAGGAACTGAGAAACCTGTTGGACATGTTCAATTCTCCCAGAACGCAGCCCCAGGTCCAGCCTCAGCTCGAGGGGAGGGGAGAGGAGGGATGGGGGTGGGGGTGCCATGCTCACCCTAACTGGCCTTTCCTTTATCTATGCCATCAGGTGTCATCCTCACAACAACCCCATGAGGAAGGTACAGGTGTCATTCCTATTATACAAGTGGGGAACACGAGGTCAGAGATAAAGTGCCTAGCCGAAGGCTGCCTAACTAGCAAGTGTCAGCCCCAGGATTCAAACTAAGGACTGCCCCAGAGTGCGAGCTTTGAAGGGTCAGTTTAGCAATTCTGAGTGTCGGGGAAGCTTGGTACCAACCTGTGTCCCACACGCTCCTGCCGGATCCCTTGCCCCCTCCTGGAGGTCTGGCAGCGTTAACAAGCCCAGGGATTCTAAAGCTGGTGCCCTGGGGACCACTGAGGGAAGGCCCAGGCTGAAATCAGGCCCGGCTGAAGTGGAGTCCAGCCCACAAGGCCACTGACTGGGCCTGAGGTGGGGGTGACCCTGTGCCAGCCAGTGCATTCTAGGTCCATGGTCCCACCTCACCTGCCTGCCCGGCCAAGGAATGAGTCCAGGTGCTTTGAGATAAAGAAAGAATACATCCCAAACGTTTTGAGGCAACTGCTTTGGGATAAATATAAACGTGGATTTCCTGGGCCCTGGATGACTAAGCACAGCTGGGCCCAAGGTTTTTCAATCCTTCCTTGGTGGAGAAGGTAGAAATCGGTGGCATCCAACCCCCTGACGTCAGTGAAGCACTCTCCTGCCCAGCTCCAGGCTTTGAAAGAGGAAGTCACTCTGTCCCAGTCCCAGGGCCCAGCTGAGGTGGAGATACAGCCTGGTGTCACAGCAAGAGCATAGGCCACGGAGGGCCTGGGTTCAAGTCCCAGCCCTGCCACTTACCGGCTTTATGGCCTGGGTCCCAGTCTGTAAAATGCGGATAATCATATCCACTTCCACAAAGATTAATAAAGAACATTGGCGAGGAAAGCACAGGCATTCTGCAAATGTTTATTTCCTTTCCTCCTCAGCCCCCAAGCCTCTCTGGCAACTAAAAACTACCATTAGCAGCAGAGCCATCTCCAGACTGCTCTTTAGAACGCAGAGAGCCTGGAAGACAGGGGCAGTCATTAAGTCCACCTGAGATGAAGCACGTGCAAAACCCTGACTTTCCTAGCCGTAGGATGGAAGAGGTGATCGAATTACTGACACCTGAGAAAAGCAGGGTTGGCAAGGCCTTGGAAAGCAGATCCTGGCCCCACTCCCTTATTTTATAAAGGGGAAAGGAAGAGACGGAAGCTGAGGGCCAAGGTCACCCAGAGAGTCAGGTACCAGTCAAGTCAAGTTTGAATCCAGTTTGTCTGTGAGTTTGCTTCCTTGGTGTCAGGAGCAACAGGTCCTGAGAGAGGAGCCCAGTCTACACTGCGGGGAGAAGGGCCCTGACAAGGAGGCCTGCTGCCCTTGGCCACCTCTCTAACACTGGGAACAGTGCCAGGCACATAGTGGGCCCTCAATAAGTATTTAGTGAATGACTGAGTGATGAACAAATAAATGTGTGAATGGGGCGGCGGGAGCACAAAGGTGCCCTTCCAGAACAGGAGGGGGTCTCTGTGAGACTATGGTCACCTTGAGAAGGGGCCCTCAGGCCTCCCCAGGGCAGAGTCCACATGTCCACTTTGCTTCCTCCAGATGGCGGCTGTGGGAGGAGGGGGAGGGGGATTCCATGGGGACAAGGGCTGGAATTGCAGCCAGAGGGATGGAGGTTGGACAGCAGGGGAATTATGTGAAGGAGGCAGGGAGGCTGGGGTGGCTTTTTCTACCGGAGGTCTGTGAGGGGCGTGTGCTGTGTCTGTGTTTGGGGCAGGAGGGGAGCTTTGTGAGGCTGGGGATGCCTGAGGGAGCCCTGAGTCACACTTGCTCAGAGCCTCGGCACCTGGGGGCTCTGTGGGCAAAGGCTACCTCAGCTCCTCAGAAGCAGACCAAGCTCAGCTTTGGCTGCTCCGGATCCTGTTACCATGGAGATACAGAAGGCTCCTTTGAGAGCAGGGGAGGCACTGGGCGTGGCCTGCCCTCAGTGTGGTTTAAAGCTGCGGGTTGGGGGTGGGGGTACATGCAAAGGGGTTTGGTAGGACCTTGTCAGGCACAACACCCATAGGCATATACCACGTGGCAGCCACTGGCTTTAGAGTCCACAGACCTGGGCCTGAATCCCAGTTATTAACTGGTGGCCCTGGACAAGTGACATCAAATCTCTGAGCCTCAGTTTCATCATTTGTAAAATGGGGTTGAGAATACTCTTCACAGGGTTGTTGGGCCATTCGCTTGAACCTGTACCTGGACAGCACAGTACTGGGGCACAGTGAGCACTAGGGAAGTGGTAACTATTATTTCTGCAATTGGGGTGAGGACTGGGGATCTGCAGGAGTCTATCCCGAAGGCAGCAGCTCCCTGCCGTCAGCCTGCTCCCTGGGCCTCCTGGGTGAGGCTGAGAGAGGCCTGACTCTTTCTCCACAGACAGAGGCAATCAAGAGCAGGAGTTATGTCATCCTTTGAACATGGGCCTGGAGGCTCTGCTGCAGGCACATCTGAAAAATAAATAATAACAACTTGAATAATTCACAGAATCCATGTGAATAATTCACCACAGCCTCCCAAACACCAGCCGATTAGTCACCACAGACCCAGGCTCCGGTCCCGTCTGCCCCTGGCTGCCCCACCAGCCCTGGGGAGTGTGGCCTGGCTGCAGGTACAGGAGGCGGAGGGCATGCAGGAACAATTGGAGGGGCCCTCCCGAGGCTGCAGGGACCTGGGGGGCAGCCAGGGAGGTAGGACGCATGGGCCAAGGAAGCCAAAGGGGACTACACTAGGGTCCCAGAGTAAGGGGGTGCTCCGGCTGGCCATCTCAGCTTCCCCTCTCTGGGCTGCACATCGGAGACTTGGAGGGGAGGAGAGTCCCTTTTGTTGTAGTTTAGTAACTGGTAACCAGCCCAATATAGCCCATCTCCACAGGGACCCCAGGCTGCACGGTCTCTCAGCCCTGAGATGGATCCTGGCGAGCCCACGCAGATGTCTCATGTTTCTCCTGGGAGGCAGGATGAGGCGGGGGTTAGCTGCCTCTGCTCAGGACTCAGATCTTAGTTCGACTCCCCCGTTACTTACTGTGTGACTTGGCCAAGTGGCTCAAACATGCCAGGTCTCCATTTCCTGGTCTGTAAAATGGGGATTAAAAACACCTACTTCATAGCGTTATTATTGTTTGGCGGATGAAATGATGTAATGACCATAAATTGCTTGGTGCAATGCTTGGCACATAGCAAGTGCTAAAAAACAGTAGCTGTTATAGATACTCATTATCTTTCCAAAGATAGCATACTGGGGACTTGGGGTAGGAAGAGGGCTGCTCAGATGTTGCAGATGTTCATATAAAACATGATCTGCAGGCCTGAGAGATGGGCAGACTGCTGGCCAACCCAGGGAGGCCTGCCTTAAAGGGTGTGGGGCCCCCAATATCTTCCAAGTAGATGCTCCACTTGAGACACCGAGTATCCTGTTTATTTCCTCCCAAGCACTTGACACAATTTGTGGTTATTTTCTTAGTTGCTTATTCACCTTTGAACAAGTAACTAGTGTCTTCCCCACTAGACTGTGAGCTCCGTGAAGACAGGGATCTCATCTGGCTCTTTCACCAGTAGCTGCCCAGGCCCTAGAATACTGCCCGGATATAGTAGATGCTCAGTAAATAGTAAATAGTGTTGATTGAATGAATAGATTCCTCAGCCATGCAAGGTTTTAGAAGGCATAAGAGAGATCATGAAGAGCTGCCAGGACACAGCCTCCATTGTGGGTGGGTCGGAAGGGGTTCTGTGGACAGTAGCTGCATGTGCAGCTCAGAGGGAAGGTGGTTCTGGGGCTGGCCCCTGCCTGTCTCACTGCTGGAGATGCTGCAGGGGTGGGGGCAATGTCTGTCTCCCCCTGTCTTGACCACCGTCCCAGTAAGCCTTCCCCAGACCAACAGTACAAGGGAGGCTTAGTGGTGGCACAGGCTCATTGCAACTTCCCCAGTAATGATTTAATCGCTTGTTTAGAATTTCCTGTGGCATTAATGATTATTCCCCAGAACGGGGAATAATTGGCTGTGTTCTCACTGTGAGCGAGCTCCCTGTTAGCGGGGAGCTGAGCCTGTTCTTCTGTAATCTTCTTCTCTCACCTGCCTGCCACTCATTCACAGGGTGATGGAGATGGATGAGCTTACGCGTGCAGAGTTGCTGGGAAGCCACCTGGAGGCTGCAGGACCTGGCTGGGGTGAGGAGGCTGCAGGGATGGTGGGGAGACTGAGAAAGAGATACACGGAAATGCAGAGACCGATGGAGAACCACCAAGAGCCAGAGACAGTGAACGAGAACAACACTGGAACCTGTGTTCTCGGGCTGAGTAACCCCCACACCCAGCTCATAGCTTCCAGTCCTCCCCAGCTGCCTCACCATGCTGTTTTACAAAACCTTCCATGCATGAATGCGCACCCTTCTGTGTGTGAACGTGTGGGCATCTCTAGTGCAGTGGTTCTCAAAAGAGTGGTACCCAGAGCAGCAGCAGCAGCAGCAGCGGCACCTGGGCATTTGCTTGAAATGCACGTTCTTAGGCTCCAGCAACCAAGGAATCAGAAACCCAGGTGGAGTCTAGCACTCAGATAAGCTTTCTAGGTGCTTCTGATGCACTCAAATGTGAGATACCTGGTGAGGTGCGTGCATGTGCTGTGTGGGCATGACCATGTACACACACATGTAAGGTGGCTGTGTGAGCATTCGGACCCCTGTCCTCAGCCAGAGGCTAGAAAAGGCCCAGGCAGAAATCAGGCCCCACCAGAGGACCCAGGTCTGCTGCTTGTGGGAAGGGGGCTCAGGTCTAGCTATCAGCTGCCCCACTGTAGCCCCTGCCCTTGAGTGGCCACAGGAACCCCTGTCTGGGGAATCTGAGGTGGGTAAGACGGGCCACCATCCCCACCAGGGCCTCCAAAAAGTAGGCCTGGAAGCAGAACCTGTTGAGAGTTATTGGCATCAGTCCTGGCATCCCAACATGGCTCAAAGAGGGACCATATCCTGGGCCCCCTAGGCCAGGGCCTTGGAGTCCTAGGAACCTGTCCCTGTCCTGCCCTTCCATAGGCCACTGCCTTTGGGCTTTGAGGAAGTGAGTTTTCAGGGAGTAAGCAATTTCAGGAGGACTATGCAGGGCTGGGGGGAAAATTAATCATCTGCTGAAAGCCAAGAGCGCAGCACCCACCTGCAGGAGCAGCCTCAACGATGCAGCACCTCTTGGGCCTGTGGGTGATGTTTCCAGAAGGGGGACTGGGAGGCGGGGTGGGGTGAGGGGCCCTGGAGGTTCTGAGGGTGGCTCTGGGGTGTGAGGATATTGCAGGGGGAGGAGAGGGACGGGGAGGGGAAGGTACAGAGAGGTTGAGGAAGGCGTGGGGAGAAGGAAGGTGGGTGAAGCAGAGAGCAGGAAGCTGTGGGAGGGTGGCAGACTGAGAGGAGGAAGGGAGGAAGGTAGAGGGTAGGAGAAGGGGGAAGAGCAGGGGAGGGAGATGCTCTGGGTGAAGGAGGCAAGGGAAGAAGAGGTGGGGATGCCAAGACAGCAGAATAATGAGTGTGGGGTTTCCAAAGGGGAAGTCACTGAGAGTGGGGATGCCCAACAGACAGCCCTGGCGGGGGAGTGGGGTATGGAGGCCTCTCCTGCCCCAGGCTCACCTGAAGGAAGCGGTATGGACAGAAAATTCACTATGAATCTGAAACAAATGAGAATGAGCTGCTTGTTGAGTTTTATATTTAACAAGACAAATAAGTGGAAGGAAGATGAATAATTAGGAAGTAATGAAGACCTTGCAAAATAGCTTTTTCTTAAAAAAAAAAAAGGTAGCCAAGAAAATACTCAGAAAACCAGAACATATGCACATTGCCCATCTTGGGCAGGTGCATGAGTCAGCAAGCTGGGCCTGGGAACGTGGGGGTGGGGGTGATGACTTGGCCATCAGCCAAATCCTGCCAGAGTGGACTGGGAAGTTGAGGTCATGTGCACCCCCATGCTTTTCTGTGGGAGCACCTGTGACCCATTTTGGGGAGACCATGACAGTCCCCAGCAGTAATGCTGACCTCAAATGTCTAAGCCCAAACCCTGAGCAGCTCTCACTTCCTTTAATTACCGCTGGGGACCATCATCCATTAATTTTGTGCAACCCTTCTGAACTCCTTTCTATTTTCAGCTTGTGAAGACCCCTTGGGGGTAACAAATTCTTGAAGTTGGACAGCAGCTGTGTAAAGCAGGACTTCCCTTTAGAAATCTTAAATTAAGTAACTCAAGCTTCAGAAGGGGCCTCCTCCTTCTAGGCTAATGTTTCCTTACCAGTAACTTGGGAGGTTTGGGTCAACACTCCCTGAACCCAGTGTTTCCAATCGCCCCTTTGCTCGCACATTCCAAATATTCTGAGCTTTGGGGTTAGAAAGACTTGGGTCCAAGTAGGGGCTCTACCATTTCCTAGCTGTGCGACCATTTCCTACCATTTCCTGTGTGACCTTGGGGCAAGTCACTTATCTTTCTGTCCTTAGTGTTTCCATCTGAAAATTGAGAAATGATTATTTTGCCTCTTCCAAAGGTTGGGACATAAAGAAATAATGTATGTAAATCACATAAAACCATTCCCAGCACATAGTAAGTCGTGGCTCTGTGCCAGGTGCTGTTCTAGGCCCCGTGGGAGAACTGTGAACAAGACAGGGAGGCTGCTGCCCTCAGGGAACTTACATCCCAGTAGGATGTGGAGACACCTCCACAGGCCAGGAAACAAATCAATACTAGGATTCCAAAGAGTGATGGAGCTATGAGGACAATAAAAAGGTGATGGGAGGGTGGGGGACAGATGGCTGATCTGGGAAGGCCTCTCTGTTGAAATGAAATTTGTGCTGAGAAGAAGCCAGATAAATGGATCCGGGGGAGAAATGTTTGTAATTAGTCTCAGGATTTGTAAGCAGTTCAGGGCCACGTTTTCTGTATCCTGCAAGTTTCATAGAATTTGACCCCTAGCTCTCTTCCCACTCTCCTTCCTTCTCGGGTTTCCCCTGCTCTGGGCTTAGAGTCCCCCTTATGTGTTAATGTGTCCCTGGCCTGAGAAAGGGGCAGAGCAGCAGAGAGGCCCAGTGCTCTGCCTTCTCCTCCCCGCCCACTCTGTCCCTCCCCTGGTTCTTTCCCTTCCTGGCTGCCCAGGGTGATATATGCCTCCTTCCCAGGGTTGAGTCATGTGCTGTGTCCTACAAGCTCTGGGCGAAGTCTCTGCCACCACTCCACTCCCTACCCCCATGGGGAGGCTGATTTATAGGGGTTTCCCCCTGGGACATGCATGCATTCTGATTTCCTCTGGCTCTAAGGCTGCAGAAGAGGGTGCCACTCAGAGCCACTTTCTTTAATGCACACAAGGCAACTGAGGCCCGGAAGGGAGAAGTGACTCCTAAGGTTGTGTTATCACCTGGCAGGGGCCTGAGCAGGAGCTTAAGGCTGCACCTCCAGACTCTGTGTCCAGTGGTCTTTTTCACGGCACATTTAG